TCTTAACTCCAATCTGTCATTAAAGCGGGGGCCACGAACTAGCCACACCGAGTTATTTTCAGAACATGGCGGCGACGAAACCTTCTACGGGACCTAACCAATAGCCAGGAGCAGACCACACAGTGACACCTCTTTCAGACGTTGCAGGACAAAATAAAAGCAGTACCAGGACGTGCAACAGCTGCTCCAGAATGTAGTATAGCTTCACCCTCACCATGGACGGATTTGGAGCCTCGCCGTACCATATCCAAGTGAACCTCCATCACTGTTTACAGATAGCTGAACTACTGTAAGTGCTAGCAGAAACAAACGGAAGTAATCTCACCAACAGATAATACCGCTTGGAAGACAGCAATTACTCAGGGTTTGCCGTGCCACTAACTAGTATTGTGGGTGGCAGTTTACGATGGGCATGCCCGGTATGAAGCAAGCGAGCTCTAACTCTATCAACTTTCTAGGCTGGTTGAGGGAAGTTGACCTGTATATTAAAACATGCTTCTACTATCTGTGCATGCTGGCGACAGTTCCCACATGCTACGTCTGACCAACTAAATTCGACGGTTTGTGCTCCAGGAAGGTCGGTTGCCTGTTAGCCTAGCGCCTGCCTACCCGGCGCGTCCACAAGTGACGGATAGGGGAACGACATTTGGTTAAGGTAGGCTACGACATAAGCGGATTCTCAGGGCTAGCGAATAAGCGGTGCCGGACCAGCAGCGACAAGGCTAAAATTGGGTTGGTTGAGAAAAACACCCGAACTATGGCTGCTGGGAAGGTCCTTGAAACGGCTTGGTAAAGGCGTTTTTTCAACAGTTCACTTGCTGCGTCCCTTCAACCCAATCTTAGATGGGGAAGGTAAGGATAGGTTACCAGCGCAGACCACCTCAATTTGCATATACTCTTTCAATGGTCGCACGAGCCGGCGCCTATCCGAAAGAATAAAGGGATACCTCCCGGCATGACTGAGAAAAAGTCAAGTCAGGAGAATATATAGCTCTATTCTGGCGCACATGGTCGATTCCGGACATCGGGTGGACCCCAATGAGTGATCTACAAGGTCCCACCAAATTACCCGAAGTCCCTTTATCAGCACCTGCTAGCAACAGCAGAAGCGACCGCTATCAGGCTGATGAAGCCCGCGTTGTGTCCACAAAAGAACTTCCTACAAGCTCCACAGTCACTTAGTGGCATGCAGTCATCCATCCTCTGTTCGTTTCTCTCCCATAGACTGCTCTATAAAACCCTACCCCATAACTAGCCTTCGCTTATCGACCCCACCCCATTCCCACGACTCATTTGTTCGAAAAGACGAACACGTTTGAACTTGCACCCAATTTACATACAAATGTAAGGCCTGACAAGAATTTATCGAATTTATCGCCGAATTAGTCTTCTGAATTCTTTGATGGGAATTTTCGCAACTTTCAAACTCATTTAATTACACTGTACAGTAGGAAAGAAGGAAGAGCGTGAAGTACACGCAGCAGGACCTAAAATGGTTCAGGTTTAGGTTCGGATGGTGTCATGTCATCATCGGCTGCATTAGAGGTGGAGGACAGTGCAGCATGATTCACCATAGTGCCCAACTTATCATCCAGGGTGAAGAGATCGGCAGCAAGTTCATCCGCGAGTTTTATAGCGACCGCGTCGAGCTCCGCCCGTCTCCGCTCTCGTTCTTCTGCGCCCGCCTTGGTCGCTTTCTCTAGCCAACAGAAGTCGCCTAGAATCAGCAGTTGCTTGATTTCAGAGACCAGACGAGTTATGTTCTCACAAGCACTCACCTAAAACATTCAAACGGCGCTGAATTCGTTTTTTAGATAATGGAAAACTGAACGCGTTAGCAAACACTAATTTAATGATAAAAAACACTCCATTACGTGAAACGTGAAGCCGATGAACCAGACTAAGAAAGCTTTGTTAAGTTAGTTGCTCAATTTATAAAATGGATACCTATGGCTATCTTTTATAACGGGTTTCGATAAGAGACGACTTGAAAAAGGCAGGCAATGGGATGTTTGGTAAAGACTACAAGAAACCAATTCCGACACAACAGTAAGAGAATTGGATATAATTCACGACTTCCATCACGATGGCGCGCATAGCAACACCGGCAAACATACTCTTATGCTATCTTTACATCGGAAAGTCGATCAAGTGTTCCCGGCACATGGAACTTTATCCCGGGAAAGCTTGTGTGGGCTGATGCAGGTTGCATTACATACTCCTTGACCCGGTCTTTGGGTGCAATTCCAATCTGCGAAGCAGTGTTAGCGAGGCGGACTAATAAATGATGGTTTCATATTGCACGCCCTAGGCTAGCCAGCAAAATGCTCCTTTCATTGTGTCCTAGTGAGGGATACGAAGGGAAAACACTAGGGCTTAGCCAGTCCTTGTGGATAAACCGACCGAACAAGTGAGTTTATTCGCCAGCGAAAAAAAAGACAACAAAAGCTTGAAAGTGGTAAGACGACAATCTACGCTCTATTACCAACACCGAGTAGGACCTTTCCAGTAATCGAATCAATGTTGTAGTTGAAGAAAATGTGCGATAGGATACAAACTTTAGGAAAGTCGGATAGAATAGCGAATGTTTGAGAAAAAGTACTATGGATCAGTACTGAAATTTCGCTTTTCTCCTTTTCAGTAGTTCAAGGTACGACCTAATAGCGCATATTACCTACTCAGTGTTTTACTACCGACTAGTAAGTACCGGGAGGATATGCTAACCACATGCAATTTGACTCTGAAAATACTTTTTTTTAACCATGAGGTTCCACAAAAGACAACGATGCTGGGGGCGACTGTCGTGTGTTTGGGAAAACAAAGGCTTGAACAGCCATCGCCGGACACAGTTCGCACTGTTTCATAAACTAGTCACTTCAAAATCAGCTAGACTAGGACTGGCGTTAACTGTTACAAGTATACCAAAAGACATGGAGGGCCAAATGTTTCTAACAAACCGGGCCTCACATAACCACCTACTGAATAGGCAACCATACGTGCTACAGATCTGCCTATGAAGTTCGTGGTAATGGAATAATAATATGAAAAAACCTGCAATGACAAACCAACGATACAACAAGAGAAAACAATCACAAAACTCAAAATATACAGAAGGAAAACATGCTTACAATATTACATGAACGAACGTTCATCTCGAAATTGTCTTGCTCGGCTTGTGTGTATGGATTCAGGCGTGCAATAACATCTGAGTTCTCAACCTTCGAAATAACAGTAGGAAAACTGCTTAGTTATATTTAATCATTACTATTAGAGTACATAAAAGGGGTCAAACATATCCGTTTACCTTGGCACGCGCCAACATAAGTTCAAAATTCTCGGTTATGGTTTTAAGGTTATCTCTGAGACGAGACTTCAAATTATTAAGATATGTTTCGCGTTTTCGA